AGATTCATGAAAATCTGCAAGTGTAAAAGGAAAGAACCAGCTGACTGGATCTACAACGGCTAAGGAAGACAATGGGAAAACAGAGCAAAAAAGGAAGGGGAGGTGAATCCCAGAGACAAGATAGAAAATACAAGTCTCCTAAAGGGGAAAGTGGGGTCACAAAAGGATCAAAGGTCAAACGGGAAAAAATGAACAATCTAGCTTTGAAAGGGAGGCCCGTGGGCCAAAAGAAACATCCCAAAGCACGAGCCCATGATAATAGGGTAAATACCACAACATAGCCAGTGAAGACTTCACCTCGGGTACCAAAGATGCAGAGGGTCCGGCTATGTCGTAATGGGCCCAAATAACACAAAAATACATGTGATATCAGTTCTGGTACTAGTCCTCAATCAAAAAGAGAATTGGGATCCAAATTCAAATCCTCCATCGATCTACCAATAATATCGAAATAAGCAAAAAAAAACCCCATTGGAAGAGAACAAAAATCAAAGAGATTAAGGAGACCAAATTCCCAGTGACTATCAAAGCTATTAAAGATCTTCCGATTCTCTCGCATACAAAAGTTGCCAATGCTCAAGCTCAAAAAGCAGGGGATGTCGATATGTCAAAAATGTTGGGAGACCAATTGACAACGACGGTTACCTCCGCGCCAGATTCTCTTCCACAAGTGAACCACCCATCCTGCGGATGACACCTTTGGATTTATCATTTCCTGCCTCTCTTAACTTCCCTTTCTTACGTCTATGTCTATATCTATGTATACTAATTTTAAAGTTCTTGCTTTGAATATTTGTGGGGCTGGAAGTATAGACTTCCGTGGAACAATTAAACTACTTGTTGAGACTTATAAACCTAATTCTCGGCTTCTCATTGAACCACAGATCAATGGCGACCAAGCTACAAAGGTATGTGCCAACTTGGATTGGGGGAAGTTATCCGGACTGATGTGAAGAGGCGTAGCGGTGGGATCTGGTTGGCATGGAAACTAGAAGAATTTCAAATTCACCGTACGGAAACCAGTACTCACCTGCTAGATTGGTTGTTGATAGGACTCTATGAGAGCCCCCAACACAAATAACATCAGTTGCTGTAGGATTAAATTATACAAACTAGCCAACGGTTTAATCTTCCCTGGCTAGTAGAGGGTGATTTTAATGTGTATCATTTAACTTTTGAAAAATCAGAAACTTTTGCAGAGTGGATTGAGACTGCCCATCTAACGGATTTTGGATTTTATTTCAGGACCAAAGTACACTTGGTTCAGAGGAGACACCACTATCTCTCATAGAGGGAGCATGATTAATCGTTCCCTTTGCAACGCTGGTTGGAACGCAATCTTCCCAAACAAGTTTGTCCAACATCTTCCTAAAATCCATTATGATCACATGCCACTCCTAATTGATTGTGATTTTAATTATAATAGCCATATGAGTAACAAACCTTTCTGGTTTGAAGCTGCGTGATTACTACACGACCAGTTTACTAATTTGGCTCTCAACCAAGCACTCAAAGATGTTGCTTCCAAGCTATAGGAGTGGAATAAATCTTTCTTTGGTATAATTCAGCATAGAAAATGAAGGACCTTAGCCAGACTGCAAGGAATATAAACCACGATGGCAACGAGATTTAGGTAGGGGTTACTACAGCTTCAAGCGAAACTGGAGGCTGATCTAGACTCACTGTTATATATGTCAAAAAGAGGTTATCTGGTATCAGATATATAAAAAAATGGGTTAAACTAGGATAGCATAACACGTCTTACTTCCATCAACAAGACACGAGGCGGCGAAGATGTGACATAGTGCTTGTCTAAGAGATACTAATGTGGTTTGGGTGGAGGACACGAAGAAAATTGAAGAACTAATTTTTTTTATTTTACAAAACTGTACTTCAAGGAGGCTACTCAGTAACAGGATCAGATGCCCAAAAACTGCTTTCCTAGACTTAATCAGGAGGACCTCGTCAATCTTCTCCTCCCCTTTACTACTTCAGATTTTCAGAGAGCTATCTATAGGATGAAACCGTTTTTTGCAAGGAAGTGGTAACCGTAGTTATCAAAGTCATGCAGCTTCAAGAACGACCAAGAAAATATATTCTTAGGATGTTCATTTGGGATAGGATAGAATTAAAATTGCAATCTCAACAAGAGATGTGAGAAGGGAAAATTTTGATCGATACAGTGAAATAATTCGAATCTCAACACAAGACAAAATCAATATTGTTCAAGAAACTTCTCACTCCTAAAACTCATATTCAATCCTTTATATAGGTTGGAGAAACAACAAACTCGTCCAATTACATAAAAGGAAAGAAATCATAATTCAATAAGGTATTTGCATTCCGTCAGCCCCGATCACCCAAACACATAAAAGGAAAGAAATCCTAAACCAATAAGGTATCTGCAATCCGTCAGCCCTGACCCCCAACACATATAAAAGGAAAGAAATCTTAAACCAACAAGGTATCTGCAATTTGCCAGCCCCGATCCCCGGGTCGGGTCTTCAAATTTCCTAGTGGGGAATTTCCACTTATGGCCAGGGACTTTGGCTCCCGTCCGTCTTCTTGTTTCCGCATGGTACGTCATTCTTCCTACTTCGAACAACGTGATTTGTATCACTCCGGAGGCTCACATCATGATTTTATCAAAATTTATGGCAGTCAGTTGGCAAAAACCTCACTAACATGGCTTTAGATTTCTTTGAAACAGGTCATCTTCCAACAGAGCTTATGGAGTCGCACATAGTCCTTATTCCAAACCAGAACATCCAGATTCCCCAACTCAATTTTGAATGATTTGCCTGAACAATGTGGGATTGAAAGCAATCACCAAAGCCATCACAAACTGGCGGAAGCCCCTGATGAGCAAGCTTGTAGCACCTACCCAAAGTGGATTCATTCTGAAGACACAAACCAATGACAATATCTTCATTCTCCAAGAGGTTCTACATACCTTGTGCTGCAAAGAAAAGAAAGAAGGGGGCTGATCATAAAGATAGACCTTGAGAAAGCCTATGATAAGCTATGATGGGAGTGTATCATAGACACTCTAATTGAAATCGACATTTCTAGCTCTTGGATAATTCGCATAATGTTCTGTGTGGAAAGCAACAAAATGAAGATCAACTAGAATGATGAACTAACAACCTCCATAACTTCACCGAGAGGAGTCCGACAGGGAGACCCGCTCTCCCTCTACATTTTTGCTCTATGTATGGAGAGACTAGATCATCACATAAAACAAGCAGTAGAGGAGAAGCAGTAGGAAACTCTATCCCTTACTCCTAATGGCCCTTAGCTATCTCACCTTTTCTTTGTTGGCAATATGATTCTATTTGAATAATCATATAACAATCAAATCGAGATAATTCATAAATGCCTAGATGATTACTGCAGTTGTTTGGGACAAAATGTTAACCTTGCAAAATCAGCTATGCTGGTTTCTGCAAACATCCCAAATTCGAGAGCCTAATGGATTAGGTATAAAGTTGAATATATTTAACCAACAACATGGGGAAGTATCTAGGAATTAACATGATTAATGGGAGAATCTCAATAGCAAGATACAAGGAACTATGCTTGAGAATCGCAAAAAAGATAGTAGCTTGGAAAGCATGCTACCTCTCCCTATCAACTAGAATAAACTTGGTGAGATCGATTTTAACTTCCATGTTGTTTATCTTATGTTCACAGAAGCCCTACCTTCATCTATCAACCATGCTATCAATAAAAGCAACAGACAGTTTGTTTGGGGAGAAGAGGAAGGGAAGAACAATGCTCACAGTGTAGCTTGGGAAGAAATGACAGACCCTAGATTGTAAGGAGGAGCCAGAATTAGGACATTAATGATACTTTCCAATCAAGTCATGCGAGCTAAAAATGGATGAAAACTCACTACCAACGATCAGGTCCTATGCACAAGAGTGCTGAAGGCAAAATACGGGAGAACGAGAGGACTCCAAATTCTGCAAAAAATAAAGGGAAGTTCCCTAGTTTGGAAAAGCTTTGCTTCCACCGTGAATGTTTTGAAGAAAGATTATGCCTTTAATATTAGAAATGGCCACAAAAATTAATATCTAGTATGATCCGTGGGTCTTGAAGGTACCACTTATTGAGATGGTGGTCATGAATGTAGCAGATGACAAGAAGGACCTCCATGTAGCTGCCATTTGGGATCCAAACCAGGGATGGAAGCTGATAGATTTCCAAGACTTTCTACCTGCCAGCATTGTCAACAAAATCCAAGCAATTGTAGTGGATCCGCTAGCAACAGAAGTGGATGAGCCCATTTGGAATCTTACATCTAATGATCACTTCTCCAAAAGTTCAAAGTATGCCGCTATGTTACCACAACAAGCCACTCTTTCACAACACTTTTGGAAAGCGATCTGGCAACTCCATGTACCTGAGAGATCAGGGTGTTCATTTGGATGGCTTAATGATTAATGGTGAAGGGTAGAGGTGATTGAATTCGGGATTGAGAAGAGGATATTTGAGATTTGGAGAAGATTACAATAGAGTTAGGGATTGGAGAAGGAAATTGGGATAACTTGACGATACTTTGATAATTAGTTTATTGATTGATTCTGACAAAATAGGTAAAAGATAGTATATAGACGCTAACACGAAACCCTAACGATTTAAACCTAATAAAGTACTATATTAGCCTTAACCTAAAGTCATACCTCCATCAGTCCATTCCTCTTGAAATCTATCTTGACCTCATGGTTGACGACAGCCCTTATGAAACATGACTAACAACACAAAATAAAATTGAACGACCAAAACTATTACTAATAATGACGTAAATGGCAACCAAGCAGGCAATTGAGGTGTTTCTCCCAACATCGAGCAGTCGACCAACAATTCGGCCGAAGTTCCTCCCCTTCAGAATTGCCCCTCTCTGTAACTGCCATTTCCTTCCTTCCCTTCTTCGCACCCTACCCAACTTTTTCTCCCGGCCTTTCCTTATTCGGCTTGCTCCAATATCCTCACAGCTCTACATTCTCCAATATTTACTCTTTCGAGCACACGATTGCACACTTTGATTCTTCTTAAACTTTCATGAAACAACGCTAGCAATTAAAATCAAGCTTTGTACCTTCTGATCCTCCATGCCAAATTCTTGAGGGAACATTGCTCTCGTCGTTTTTTTCATTCTTTTCTCATAGCTTGGAGGGATAGGTGTTATTGTTGAAGACTCACGACTCGTCGGGGGAGGATGGAGTGAAGGTTGTTTCCACGGCGGATCCGGTTTTATTGGTCAAAGCCTTCGTGCCACTCTCGGTAGTCGCAGGTGGGACAAGAACGCCGACACTCTGCGGTGACGGTCCTAACGCAGTATAGACAATTGGTTTTACAACCACTTGGAATTGTCCCGGTTTGTTGCAGAACTCTACCATCAGGCCTTCCTTGTCGAGGTCATTTGATGAGGCGATGCTAGTCAAAGGATTTACTGATACTACCATTGGTGAATCCCTGTCCCGTGGTGGTTGTGGATCGCCCGTCACGCTCTTCTTCTTTGACTCGTTGTTGGTCATCATCTCCATAGCAGCTGGTGGCTCAGACGCCACAAGACCTCCACTTTCCGCCTTCGCGTTGAAGGGTTGTGAGGATCGGGTCGTAGTGGGTCTGGAACCTAGCAACAGGACTGATCTTCCGCTGACTTCTGCTTGGAATTGCATTGTCCCAGCCACCTGTACCCCCTCCAATGCGAGACCGCTCGCCGCAGCCAAGAGTATCGTGTTGTCGCCGAGTTCTCCCGACTCTGACTCCTTCGTTTGTTCCAACCGATGAGACCTCTTTTCATCCATCTCTTGAAGCTGCCGATGATACAAGTCAGATTGATCTTGAAGTCATGCCATGAAGCACTTGACAGCTACCTCGAACGATTACAAGGAAGGAAATTGCTCTCGTACCATCTGATGAATGGATGAAGGGTAGAGGTGATTGAATTCGGGATTGAGAAAAAGATATTTTAAATTAGGAGAAGACTAGAATAGAGATTAGGGAATTGAGAAGGATATTGGGATAATTTGACGATACTTTGATAATTTGTTCATTGATTGATTCTGACGAAATATGTAAACGACAATATATAGACGCTAACACAAAACCGTAATTGACTTAAACCTAATAAAGTAATAAAATACCCTTGACTGAAAGGCATACCTCCATGAGTTAAGGACAAGCTAATGACTAATAGTACAAGGAAGACTAGACACCTCACCAACAACGATTCTTGTCCGGAATGCCAAGATACACTGGAAACCAACCTTCACTGCCTCAAAGATTGCAAAATGGCCAAAGCAATATGTAAAAAGGTTACACAAGTCACAAAGCTCAACATTTCTTCAACTCCACCAATTGGTTGTATCACAACCTGACGAATGACCATCAAGGCAATTGGCCATATTATTGGTAAAGCTTCTTCGGCCTCCTACGTTAGTATATATGGAAGTATTGGAACAACTATATCTTCAATGGAATCATACTTGCGCTGACCACACCAAAAATATGTTACAAAAAATGTTGCATAATGGGTAAAAATTTGGGAGTTAGCCAGCAAAAAGACTAAGGTCACAAATCAGCAGCCGAGAAGTGAAACAATGGCTAGATGGAAACCCTGGGAGCCGAGTGGTTCAAAATTAATACTGATGAAGCTGCACATAAAGCTTCAGAAATCGCCACAGTGGGAGGAGTCCAGCGAAATTGATATGTAGGGTGGATGGAAGGATTTTGCAGCAAATTGGGAATCTGAACCGCGATGCTATCAAAGCTATGGGCAATTTAGCAAGGGCTGCAACTAGCATGGAAAAATAGAGTGCAATTTCTAGTCATGGAATCTGACTCGCTACTAGCATTAGAATTAATCAAGAACAGACCATACTCAACTCATCCATACGCCACCATGTTTGGGGCGATCCGTCGAAGTCTAGCGCAAGGGTGGATTGTTCAACTAGTTCACATGTATCGCAAAAGGAATAGAGCTGCAAGCTGGCTCTCAAAGCACAGTCTCGTCTATCACTTCGGTATGTATGGAAGAACTACCACCAGAACTCAAACAGATTCTAGTAGATGGTAATCTTGGGGGTATGCCTATGGTGACATGCATGTCATGTAACTTGCACTTTTAGGTCGACCTCATATAAGATTAGGTCAACCTAATATGACGTATCAGTTTTGTGAGGTTCCCGAATACACTAATGTGAGCACCCTGATGACTTATTATGGTCGACCTTTAAAATGTAGTAGTCGACCGTTTGTAGTTTAAGTTGTCATTGTTGGTCGAACACAATAAAACATCGGTCTCCCTTTTCATTGGCGTCAGAAGCAAAATGGTCGACCGTAAAGATATATAGGTCGACCACTTGATGGTGGTCATTAACAAAATGGTCGACCATTTACAGAAAGAGGTCGACCATATAGAAGAGAAGTGTTGTATCCATTTATCCATCATTATTTGATGTAAAATGAAGATCAAGTGTTGGTTTCGCGGTCGACCTAATCCGGTACGATGTCGACCGAATACAAGAAAATCAACCTATGCCTGCGTCTTTTTTGCTTATGTATGTCGATTAGGGTGGTTCTTTTGCTCGTACAAATTACGTTTCAAACCAACAGAATTAGTCATAAATAATGATAACAAGGATTCATAATTTTCACGTGGTCGACCTCTTGAATCACGTACAGCAGCAACCACAAGGGATCTTCTTCACAAAAGCTCTAATCGTAAGAAAAAATCTAATTCAGAGTTTCGGTGGCACAAAAGGTGACATATATTCATATTTATAGATATTTAAGACGAGAATGGGTCGAATTAAGTGGTAGATAAGTTAGGGTTACCTTTCTGGTGTTGGAATCCTTATCCAATACGGATACGGTGTGTACGCGGTTGACCTCGTACTTATGCGGTCGACCTCAGTTAATCAAAATGGTCGGCCTATGAGGTATTTGGGTCGACCTTTCATTTTGTTCGCTTCCCAAAGAGGTCGACCATTTGCTATAAAAGGTCAACCGCGTCGTTGAACCTCACAAAACTGAAACGACATATTAGGTCGACCTAATCCTATATAAGGTTGACCTAAAAGTGCAGATTAGGTCGATCTAATCCTAAATAAGGTCGACCTAAAAGTGCATATTAGGTCGACCTAATCCTATATGAGGTCGACCTAAAAGTGCATGTGACCGTAGCAAAGTCCTTATCTTTGGAGTAAGCTTCTCAAGGCAAACGTTGAACTCCACTTCGGATAGAGAGCAATGAAGCTGTTGGGCTCCCCTTAGAACTCTATTTTGTGGTTTCCTTGTTTTTCTTGCGTTTAGACCATGTACTTGGCTTTGTTTATGAGCTAACTATGGACTGGGTTTGTCCCGCCTCCAGTCAATCAAAAACAATTATAATTTACTTGTTTTTCACGTCAAATGGATAAATATAAGAATAAAATTAATATCCCAGTAGAAATTCCAAACTATCGAGAATAATAAAAATTCGAAATTTGATGGTTAAAGTATACTTTTAGAATATTTACTATGCAACCAATGAAGTGAAAAATTGTATTGTATGCTTAGTAGGAATTATCAATTTAGTGTAATGTTATATATTATTATTATTTTAGATGAGATATAATATAATTTATATATGTATGTATAATATAATGTTTTTTTTCATATATTCAGGTTAAATCGGGTTAAACTGAGTAAATCGATCGACCGATTAAACCTTGACCCACTAGATCGACTGGGCCAGGCTGAATCAGGTTGTTAATCTTGATCTAAAGTATCATTGTGTGAAAATATCATTTATGATGAGTAAAAATTGGAAAAATATATTTAAATATTCAGATAAATCAAGGTAAAATGGATCAAGAACGGGCGGGACAAGACGGCCCAAGACGAAAATAGTACACGTGCCCCACCCCACACTACTCGGTGCCCCAACACTGATAAGGTCGGGTAATACCTCACAAGACGTGTTTCAATTATCATCACGACTACCAATTTTATTATAGCTTCAAGACTTTGTTATGATTGTTTTAACACTTTCACGTCATTCTTTTTATATTTTGATATACAAGGCAAAATCGTGTGATGTGCTAAACTAAATACAATGTAGCATTTTTTACAGAAATCCATTAACCACTAACCGATATTCTCACGAAATGACATCAATACGATCAACGGGTTCGATAACTCTATAAAATCAAATCAACGAGCTTACAAAACCAAATACTAAAATAAACGAGTCAAATAGTCGCAACAAAGTGAAAGAGGTCATCTAGCTAGTTAGTTTTAAGGCGTTAAAACATGCACTTATATGCTTTGAATCCTCGTAGCTTCTCAGTTAAAAGGAAAGCAAAAATAGCATAAGCGATCTTTTCAATCACTTTTATAGACTTCTGGTTTCCATGCCTATGATCATGCAAAACGGGGTTTTGCAGGGCAAGAAAATCAAACCAACCCATTTTACTTGAATTTGAATGATTCCATATCATATTCTTTCCAACTTAATTTTTTAATATCTCTTCTCTTCTTTGAATGAAGCCTCAATTCCTGATCCATTTCTTCATATGGTCTGATCACAAATCAAACCAAAACCATTTTACTTGAATTTGAATGATTTCATATCACATTCTTTCGAGCTTAACTTTTAATATCTCTTCTCTTCTTTGAAAGAGAGCCCCAATTCCTAATCCATTCTTCATGGTTAGATGATCGCTTGTTACTTCGCGTACGAATAAATTAAGTGTGCAAGTATGAAATACGAAAGAAAGCTACTCTAGTGGGTGTGAAGGTTATGTTCTATTCTTAGGTAAAGTTTTCTTAATAACTTCTCCATTTTTCATAATATTGTTTTTATTCTTTTGGTTTCAAAATTAAGTTTTATAAGGCGTAATAATTAGTGCTTTTGACTTTCCTAAGTTTTAAACTTGTATTTTTTATTTCTGAGCCCTTTACTAACTGGTTATGTTTCTTAAAAAAGAAACCACAAAAAAATGTGACGAGATGCTCTCGTCTCTCTCCTCTGCTACTGTCGTCTGCTCGGCCGATTTCTTCTCATGGTGGGGGAAGGAGGTGCTCGTTGCTAGTCTGTGCAATCAACTTCCAGAGGTACGTGGACAGGAATCCATCCACCCTTTTCAACAAGGGTGGAGTGCAGCCGGTTCGTGGACGAAGCCAACAAGTGACCATTCCTCTTCTCCTTACTAATCCGCGTCGGGGAACGGGTATTGGTGCTGGCGTCGACGGGAAGAGGCCCGAGCCCGGCGTAGGGAACAGAACGAAATTTAGCTAAAAGTGTGTTGGAGTGTGATATAAACTGCTCCCTAGTTATGAACCGACGATGTGTTTTGAATAAGAAAGGGTGGCGTTTCAAGCTCCCTTCGTCGGACGAGATGGATGATATGGTGGATGGCCATAGTCTGCCGTGCCGGCGCGAATGTAACCCTCTCGCAGAGGCTGTTATTTTGATAAACAAAATCAATACACCAAAGGAGATTCCCTCTCTCTCCGCCGGAGTGCCAGACCCTCACCGGACCACGGATCTCGTCCAAAACCCTAGGCGAGCGGCGAGGGAAGTCTTGATTGATTTAGCCCTGGGTTCCCATCAGATCGGTCGGCGGGAGGATTATGGCACTCCTGATTGGTGGGCATACTCACGGAGACACACCAGTGATCGACGGGGTATCTCACGGTGGTGCGGCAGTATTTTGAGTTTCTGGGGAATCGAGAACCGAATTTCACGGAGGTTAGGGGGGGGGGGACTTCCCCCGGAATATCTGCCGGTGCAACAAAAATCCGATGGCAAATCTTTCAAAAATTACTTTTTTCAAAAAATGGTTGGGGTTGAGGATATGGATCGGCTGATTGTATCTCTAACCCCGACTCTCCTTGGGGAAAACCGTGTGGATAGAAACCAAGTTGTCTAGACCACTTTGGAACATGCTCTATATAACCCCTGCCCGTCTGGTCTCTAAACTGCTGGAATATACCAAACGGAGCAAGGAGATTAAGAGCTGTGCACGCCTCGGTAATCAGTCGCCCAACTCAGGTATTCCCCCTCTCCTA